AAAACTATGTATTTTACTAACTCTAAGAAAGCCTGACATATAGATCACTGGACTATATAAATGCAAATGAAAATACAAGAAATTAATTCTACAAAGCTGCAACTATATATACATTTAGGTTTTTATTATTATGAATATATTTCAAGAAAAAGCTTGTATCCACTGACAGCTGCCAGGTGCCCGAGGGGACGCAGGCTGCACTGTGTGGGCTTGGCCTCGTGGTTGCTCACCCTAACCTTGGCTGCTCGCCTTTGCCCTGATTCCTGGCCAGGGTTGGGACAGTACACTGACCTGCCCCCGTAGGCAGATTCTTTGGGCTCCAGCCAGCCTCAGGGCAGAAACAATGGTGCCCGGCGTCAGTCTGTTCTCTTTGGTTCTCAGGTCTTTTCTCCTGGCACCCTGTATTCATGGCCTTGGCGGTGAGTTTGGGCTTCCGTATGCGGCTGATTGGTGTGGCCCTGTCCCTAGGGGAACATCCAGGCTCCAGAAGGCCCAGCCTTGCTAAGGCTCCCGGGTGGGGAGCAGGCCGCCTCCAGCTTTCCCTGCCGCCTTTGAGAGCGGGGGACAGGGAGGGCTGGGCTGTGCCAGGTAGTCAGTGGGGTGGGAGGGCATGGAAGGCATTTCTGCACTAGGGCCTGGGAGGAGGAAGTGGGCGGGTGATTTCTAGCCACTCCTCCCCCAAAGTTCGGGAGGACGTTTTTTAACATTTGTTGTTTCCATTGGCCAAGAAATGGGAGTCATCGTGTGAGGGCAGGTGGGGAGCATGGACTTTGCATGTCAGCCTGAATGACAAGCGACTTCCGCTCAAGCGTAGACTCCCCATTGTGCCCAGCCATGTGGGCCTGTGGGGCAGGAGGTCCTGGTGGGGTTCTTTAGCCCCCCACCCCGTGTCCTGTTTGGATATAAGTAGGAGAGCACCTCCCTTTTCTCAGACGCCCAGGCTGGCCCTCAGGCTCACTGGCCCTCTCTTGTTCGCAGTTCTGCGTCTGCATGGCCGAGGCCATCCTCCTCTTCTCGCCTGAGCACTCCCTCTTCTCCTTCTGCTCCCGAAAGGCCCGGATCCGGCTGCACTGGGTGGGGCAGAGCCTGGGCCTCCTCTGCGCAGCCCTGGGCCTGGGCTTCATCATCGCCAGCAGGACCCGCAGCGAGCTGCCCCACCTGGCCTCCTGGCACAGCTGGGTGGGGGCCCTGACGCTGCTGGCCACGGGGGGCCAGGCACTGTGTGGGCTCTGCCTGCTCTTCCCCCGGGCAGCCAGGGTCTCCAGGGTGGCTCGCCTCAAGCTCTACCATCTGACGTGTGGACTGGTGGTCTACCTGATGGCTACCGTGACGGTGGTCCTGGGCATGCACTCGGTGTGGTTCCAGGCCCAGATCAAAGGCGCGGCCTGGTACCTGTGCCTGGCGCTGCCCCTCTATCCAGCCCTGGTGATCATGCACCAGATCTCCAGCTCCTACTTGCCGAGGAAGAAAACGGAAATATGACTGCCTCCAAACTCTGACTCTAGCTGGCACCCTGGCCTTGGACTTCAGTGGTCTGTTTGGTGACCTTCAAGGGCTCCACTCCCGAAGTGGTAGGGTTTTTATACTCTTAGCTGGGCTGACGGGTGACTCGGTGGACTGAAATGGGGAGACGTACTGGGTGCAAGTAAAAGGTGGTGGGGAGCTGGGTCCTGAGCCTCCACTCTGGACGGGAGACAGAGGTTTGGGTCCTGGTGGTGATGGTGGTGCCGCCATTTCTTGGCTGCCTGCCTGATGGAGGGTTGGGTTCCTGCAGTTCTGAAAGGCAGCTGTGGCTCTTGGAGTCACTCCTGAGAAAGCACTTGGTGTGGTGGACAGAGCCCTGGGTCTTGTCCATAGTTACGGTCCTCGTCGGCTCTCGTGTGACCTCACGCACGTCGCATGTCTCCGGAGCTCGGCGTCTTTCTCTGTGTGAGGAGCGTTTCTAAATGACCTCTCACATCCCGTGTCTGTGAGGCTGACCTCACTGCACACCCTCCAGCTCCGGACCGGGGCTGGACCACTTAGAAGACTCAGGATGTGATTCTTACATCGGTTGTCCCCTGACCGCTCAGGAGGGACAGATCTGCCCTCATGGCCTGTCAGGAATCTATGCTGACTTGGCCCCAGACCAGGGCGCGAGGGGCCAGGCCCTGTGGAGGGAAGGGGGCGAGGTGAGGAGGATCTCCTGAACTCCAACACAGCAAAGGCACTAAAGTCACTTTAAAGCCATGGGAGAGCCCTGGCTGGTGTGGCTCAGTGGATAGAGCATCCACCTGCGGACTGAAGGGTCCCGGGTTCGATTCCAGTCAAGGGCACATACCTCAGTTGCAGGCTCGATCCCCAGCCCTGGGCAGGGCACGTGCGGGAAGCAACCAGTCAATGTGTCTCTCTCACATCGACGTTTCTCTCTGTGTGTCTCTCCCCCTCCCTTCCACTCTCTAAAAATCAATGGAAAACGATCCTCGGGTGAAGATTACCAAAAACAAAAATAAACTTTACAGAGCTGTGGGCGAGTGGAGGGCACTGGTTTACCCAAACCTGGGGCTCCTGCTGGCTGCCTGTCCCCTCGGCTCCAGGGCCGAGGGCAGGGCTGTGGTCCTCCCCTGACGTCCAGTCTTGGTGGCCAAGTCGTCCTGGGCACCCCGTGTTTTGCCCTCCTTGGGCTCAGCTTCTTGCCTTAGCACATAGCTCTGTGCAGCTGTCCCGAAGCTTCTAGAACAAAATAGGAGCCCAGGGAGCGGGGCCGGGCTCTGTGACCTCGGAAAGGCCCCTCTTCCTCGTCACCTACGTTTTCCTCTCTGTCGTCTCTTGCCAGCCCTTTGGCCCAGCAGCAGGGCTGAGTGTGGTGCCAGCTGGCAGGTGAGGGCCAGGCCCTCTTCCCTGCAGAGACCCTTCCTGTTCCACATTGAAAGCAGTTCCCCAGACTGCCCTCAGCGACGCGGGGTGCCAGGCCGGATACTGTGATCCGATCTGGCTCAGTTAGGGAGAGGGGATCCCCATAGATCCTGGCAAGGAGTGCAGGCGGCCGACCCAGGAGAGCTGGCGTTGAGCAGGTGGTCACAGCTCGTGGGGCTCTGGGAGGCCTGGGGGATGGGAGCTGGAGCTCCAGGTCCCGGGACCAGGGGAGGCGTTCCTAGGTGGCAGCATTGGGGTGTCCCAGGTCTTTCGAAGATTCAAGACCTCTCTGTGGCTCAGAGGCACGGAGTTGGGCTGACTCCACAGCACAGGGACCGGACTACACCGGCAGAGGCATCCCCGAGGGGACTCCTTGGGCGCCTCCTGGTGACATGGCCTCTCCCAGGAGCTGTGTGGACCTTGAGCACGTGTGGTCACTGATCGGGCATCCCATTGCCTCTCCATCCGACACAGCCGGTGCTGGGAGTCCTGCCCTGTCTGCAGCGGGGGGGGCTGGGGGGT